GCTTGCCGCCAGGAGCGAGAGCAGGAGGACGAGCCAGAAATGCGCCACAACCTGGGCATCCGGCGGAATCGTTTTTAATATAATTATAAGAGGGTTTCCGCTTTTGAGGCCCTGTCGGGGCCTCAAGGCCATCAAACATCTTCCTGGAAGAACAGTCGTCCCTTTGGGAAAGGGTCGAAACTTTCGGGCCAGCGTGTTGGAAACATAACATGGTCGGAATGTTTTCGAATGGAACGTGGTCTTGAAACACAGTGTTTTTGAAGTTCTCGGTTTCCCTACTTCTACCCAGGCCGTGGGATCGACAAAAAACACGGCGCACAACGATTCTGGGTGAAGAGGTGGTCCCGTGAAATCCCCAGGGTCCATAACCCTTTACCTCCAGGACAATCTTCTTTCATGCCAAGCGAGCCACGGGAGGAGTAGGATGTAAGGAGAGTCTGGGTGAACATCCCCAGTGATTATGCCTCTAACTGGAAAGGATATGCGTGTGTGCTCGCACCCCAGCCCCCCGCCCCGCCCGCCCCAACGTCCTAACTTATCACACTACCGCTTCAACGCCCTAGCACCATAACGCCCTAACCTTCACACCGAACCCTTTTGTCTTACTCCGAACTCCCGACGGCTAGCACCTTACCATGAAACCCCAGCACCCTAACGCCCTGTCAGAACCGCTAGCACCCGGACCTTTGCATGACGTAGCCCTGAACCCCCGAACCCTCGAATTCAAACCTGAACACCCTTAACTGCCAAGTGCGGGGGGGGGGGTCGAAACCACCCCTCCCGCCCTCTGGCGCAGAAGGGGGGAGGAAGCGGCGAAGGGATCCGAAGCCCGCTCGCCCCTTGTGAAGGGAGGGCATCCGAAAACATACCCGTTAGGGTAAAGATATCAGGGGCTAATATGTGTGTGAGAGAATGCTCAGGTTTGGTTAGGCGTCAGCGGCCGAGTTTAAGGATTTTGTCGTTCGGGCTTGGGTGTTAAAGTTAGGACTGGGAGGGTTAGGGTGTTAAGGTGCTACCTCTACAGCAGCGACGACGCTGACGACTACGAAAACACGTTTATTGATAATTTCATCCGTAGCAAGTCCCAACGTGCCCTTCTTCACAAAATCATAGAGTCCCTGCTTCCATCGGCGATGAGCCAATCGGGAGTAGCCGAGAAGTTCTAGAAGTACCTGGGGGGAAAAGGAGAGGTTCCGAAGCAGCGTTTGCTCGGGGGGTGTCGTATGCGGGAAACCTCATTGTCTTAACCACTTCCGCTGACTTAGGCGATCCAATTGTCAAGCGTGTTGCTAGCTAGTTTCTGGAAGTCTGCCATGTGTTAGCTTCTGATATCCCATCCAACTGTAGAACGACAGGCCCGAACTCTCAGTACAAACGCATGGCGAAGTGCCACGCGTAGAAGCAGCGCCGCAAAGCTGACCTCCCACGCGTGCGAGTATGTGGTCGCGCCACATCACTGCAAGAGCATTTGGGCCGATATTGGACGCGGGAACAGCCCGTCTTTATTTGGGCTTGTGAAATGCAGCCGTGGCCCCAAGCGCAGAACAGGAGTCTAAAGTTGCAGGGTTGTTTTCGACAAGCACATGGCGAATCTTAAGCGCAGCAACGGCATGCCCATGCGAAATCCAACAGACATTTCTGCCCATCACTTCGCGCTGCTCGGGCCTTTCCTGACATTCGGCGCCGTGGACGTCATGTGCGCTGCCAACCTCGAGACGAGGAACTCACCTTGGCCGCCCACTACACGAAGGAGTTGTGCCACGTGCTCGGCGGCGCCGCGACCCCGTCGAAGGCCGCGGCGCTCCGCCGCAAATCGTTTCGAGGAAACCCGAGCCAGCCGTGGCTGACAGGCGTCGACAGCTTTCCCGCAGTAGCACTTGGCGGCGCGGACTTAGCTCAGGCGATTCGGGCTGTTTAACCACCTTCATTCGACAAATCCCCACATGGCGGACGCGGTTGCCTCGGACGCGCCACGGGCGTGCCAGTCACCTCCGAGCCAAAAGTCTTTGGGGGGCTCGAGATCACCGCGCGCGCAGGAACTGCTTCGCAATTCCCGTCCGCCGTTGGAAATGCGATGCATGTAGGAAGAACTTCGACGACCGAGAGTCTGGCCACTGCTACCCTATTGGCGGGTGCAGATTTGCCCATCCGTTGGCCCACCGGCCACGACGCTTCCACGCCCCTTGGGCACCACGATGGCGGGGGTCCTCCCGAGCTCTTCGAGCCAGGCGGGGGGCGGTCTGCCTCGTCTACGGGGCGATCCGGAACTCGTCCTAGACCGCCGCGACCCCGCGCAACTGGCGGCCCAATTGCGGAAATTGCTTTTGCGACTGCGCATCGGGTTGGTCGCGGCAATGCGACCAGTCTTTCGCCAGACGTGCCTCCCCCGCCGGAACCAGTCTATCAGCGTGGTAGATCTCGTCGGGCACCTCTCGCCGCTTGCGCCATGCCCCGATCTTCGGGCCGCGGCGGCGGCCAAGTGCCCTGCCTGACAGGGCGAGATTCAACGTTCTGCTTTCGACGCGAAGCGCGGGCGCAGGCGGCCCCCCATCGAGAGGAAGGGCGCCCAGGTGCCGGCTCCCCGCAGCACGCGGAAACACAGTCGTCGATTCCGTCGATTCGTAATGTTTCGTCGGCGATGCTGCCGCGAGCTTTCGGCGCGGCGAATCCAATTCTTGGGCGGGCAGCGCAAATCGCCCATCAGCCATGTGCCCGAAAAAGCAGGCAGGCATCTGAGCAACCGAAGTAGAACCGCGTCAGCTTCCACTGCCGTCCTCTGTCGTCGTAGTCGGCTGATTCGTCGGCGCCCTCGTCGCCAGTTCGTCGCCCTTCGCATCGAGCCGATCCCGTGGGGGATTCCGGCGCGGCCCTCGTTTGTTCGCCGCTGATCAAATACATGAGCAACGGTCCGTTCAGGCAAGTCGTGTCTGATCGCCGCTTAAGATCCATGGGGTCTCAGTTTGTAATGCCGTTCTTCACAGTGTTCTCGCGCGGGGTCTGTCTGTCTGCGATAGGTTCGTCGCGTCGACCAGCGGCGGTCGAGCGCTGGCGCAGGCCCGGGATCGGCAAAATTATTTTGCCCGGCGCTGAGGGCGCGGCCGGCCATTCGAGATCGAATTGCCCTGGCGGCGCCAGACACCGCCGCCAGGGTCGACGCGGCGCGACCCCGCCAGGCAAACTGCCCCTACTGGTCTCGGGGTAGGAGCCCTTGTTCGCGAAGAGCCCCGCCCCCGCCTTGGCCCCCACCCTGCGTGCTGGATGCGCGGAGCGAGGGCGGCCGCAACGTCTGGATACGCGTGTGAGCCGCGATGGAATACGCATTCCACTGAGTGGACATGGCTCGCGCAAGGTCGCTGCGCCCGCGCCCGTGGGCTTCTTTGTCCGCTTGTCGCTCGTGCGGCCGCCGTGTCTCGTGAGCCGTCGGTTCCTCTTCTTCCTCCTCCGCCCGCTCCTGCTCCTTCTGCCATTCGTCTGCCTCTTCCCCCTCCTCCTCCGCCCTGCCCCCCCGCCCCGCTCCGTCTGCCCATGCCCCTGCCGCCCCCCCTTCCCGCCCGCCCCCCCGCGCCCGCATTGTCGGGGGCGCAGGTTGCTGCTCAATCTGTATATTCGGACGCGCGCGTGCGCCGATGCCCCCCCCGCCGCTTGCCCGGGCCGCGAATTCCCCCCCCCCCCCCCCGAACTGGCAACCCGCTTCAAATCCACAGATGTGCTTTTAATATGTAGGTAGTCACGTCCCACAGGATGCGTTTCAATCTGTAGAACTCAGCTGCCTCCCCCGACGCATGCGCGACGTGCAAATTGCGATGCAATCTGCGCGCCGCTGCGTTCCTCGTCCACAGACGTCAGCTGCCCTCCCCATAGCGCCTCGGGCGCGCAGATAGCCCCATTCCGCGGCCCCACGGGGCGCCGGGGAGGAGGGGCGGGGAGGGGGGCGAGGAGGAAGCGGGGGCGGGGGCGGAATGGCGAGGAGGAGGGGGGGACAGGAGGAGCAGGAGGAGGAGGACGAGGAGCAGGAGCAGGAGGAGGAGGAGGAGGAGCAGGAGGAAGGGCGAGGAGCAGGAGCACGCGGCGCCCGACCAGACCCCGCCCTTCCGCCGCCGCGGTCGCCCGCGAGCCCTGCCGCCGCCCCCGCCGGCGCCGCCGCCGAGCCCCCTCCCGCCTGTGCTCGCGTTTGCAGCGGCGCCAGTGGATGTCGCAGAGATCGACGCCCCCGCCGCTGGCGCGGGCGCCTTCGCCAGCGCCTCCGCCGCCGACGCCGGGCCCGACGCCCCCGCCAGGAAGGCGCGCGCGGTCTAGAGGACAGGGTTGGAAGGGGAAGGGGGCGATGAAAAGGGGGGGGGGGGGGGGGGGGCGCGGCAGGGCCGCGGGGGGCGCGCTCCGGCGATGCCGCGCCAGCTTCCGAGAGAACCCGGGGGCGGACGGGCGCGAGGACACGCGTCGCGAGGGGGGGGCGCCCGACGGGCGCGCGCGCGCGCGCAGACGCGCGCGCCGCCGTGCGACCGCTTAGCTCGCGACCCGCGCCGCTCGTGAACCAGGGCGCGCATCGCGAACCTCACTGGCGGATTGGGTTGTTTTTTATATATTTTTTTCCGAATTCGAAATCCTCCTGTTCAGAAGATTTCGTTTTAGGGGGCAGCCCCGAAGTGCTGCTGGGACTTCCCAGCCAATGCCTGGCGCGACATGGGCGGCGAGAGGGGGGGTCATCGATCGGCCATTTCGCTCTTGTCGGGCGCGCGCCGGGCGGGCATTGTTCCGGCGATGTCGAGAGTGCCGTCGGGCCCCGTTGCGCCCCCCCCTCCATCGAGGCCAGTCGCGCGCGCGGCACCGATGTGATGGCGAGCGGCCGCGCGCCCACCCTGCGCGCGCCATCTGGGCGACGGCCTCCTGGCGCCGCAGGGGCAGCCGCAATGTAGTCGCGCCTGCAGCGCGCGCCTCGCGGCACTCGGCAACGCGACGTTTTGCCGGCCCCGTGGCCGCAGCGCCATGGCCCCGCGGGCGCC